GCCTCAGATCAGCTGAAACACTCAGTTTATTTAAATCCAGGTTGAAGACTCACCTGTTCTCAGCTGCATTTGAATAAAGCACCAAATCCACACTTTTAAGCTTAAATTTCAAAACTTACATTTAACTACTGATTTTATCTACTGTTCTGATTTTATCTGTTTTGATTTTATATACTGTTTTGTTTGTTTGTTTGTTTGTTAGTTAGTTAGTTTGCTTGTTTAAATCAATTTTAAATCATTGTTTTTGTTTCTAATATATCTGTAAAGCACTTTGAATCACCTTGTTGTTGAATTGTGCTATACAAATAAACTTGCCTTGCCTTTGTTGGAATTCATATGAACAGCCACATAAAATTCATTCCAATTTTTTGCTTTTGCTTAAATGAAGATGTGTCTTTAAATCTACGATACTTTTCCTGTTCAGAAAGTTTGCTGACATAGTAAAGAAGTGGCTAGGGAACTGAAATCAAATCAAATCAAATCACTTTTATTGTCACATCACATGTGCAGGTACATTGGTACAGTACATGTGAGTGAAATTCTTGTGTGCGAGCTTCACAAGCAACAGAGTTGTGCAAAATACAATAATGTAAACAAGAAAAATACAAGAATGGCTACATTTGAAACTAATAAATATATGTACAATATATAATAGTATATGCATTCCTGGATGTGTATACTAAATATTTTTCTGTGTGTGTGTGTGTGTGTGTGTATACACATATTTTACAAGTTAAATAGAGTAAACAATAAATAAATATATAAAAATATACAGAGTTGAGACATGTGCAAAACAGTGGCATTACTGTACAGTATGGAGTGCATAATGTTAAAGTTCCAGTAGTGAAGCTGAGGTGTCTATGACGTGTTCAGCAGTCTGATGGCCTGATGGAAGAAGCTGTCTCTCAGTCTGCTGGTACGGGACCGGATGCTGCAGAACCTCCTTCCTGATGGAAGCAGTCTGAACAGTTTATGGCTGGGGTGACTGGAGTCCTTAATGATCCTCCCCGCTTTCCTCAGGCAGCGCTTCCTGTAGATGTCTTGGAGGGAGGGAAGCTCACCTCCAATTATCTGTTCAGAGCACCGCACTACTCGCTGGAGATCTTTGCAGTTGTAGGCGGTGCTGTTGCCATACCAGGTGGTGATGCATCCAGTGAGGATGCTCTCAATGGCACAGTGATAGAAGGTCCTGAGGATGCGGGGGCTCATGCCGGATCTTTTCAGTCTCCTGAGAAAGAAGAGGCGCTGCTGCGCCTTCTTCACTGTTTTGTTTGTGTGTACTGACCACGTAAGATCCTCAGCCAGATGTACACCAAGGAACCGGAAGCTGCTCACTCTCTCCACAGCAGCGCCGTTGATGGTGATGGGGGTGTGTACTTCTCTGCACCTCCGGAAGTCCACTATCAACTCCTTTGTCTTTGCGACGTTGAGGGTGAGATGGTTGTGTTGACACCAGTGGGTCAGGGCGCTGACCTCCTCCCTGTAAGCCGTCTCATCACCGTTGGTGATAAGACCCACCACTGTAGTATCATCCGCAAACTTCACAATGATGTTGGAGTTTCTAGTGGCCGTGCAGTCGTAGGTGTAGAGTGAGTACAGGAGAGCGCTCAGTACACACCCCTGTGGAGCACCAGTGTTCAGTGTGATGGGGGATGAGGTGATGCTGCCCAGTCTGACCACTTGGCGTCTGTCAGACAGGAAGCTAAGGATCCAGCTGCAGAGGGAGCTGCTCAGTCCTAGATCCTGCAGTTTCCTGTCCAGCTTCGAGGGAACGATGGTATTGAATGCTGAGCTGTAATCTACAAACAGCATCCTCACATACGTGTCTCTCTTCTCCAGGTGTGACAGGGCAGTGTGTAGTGTCAGGGCTATGGCATCATCAGTGGACCTGTTGTGGCGGTATGCAAACTGTAGAGGGTCCAGTGAGTCGGGTAGCGCAGAGCGGATGAAGTCCCTGACCAGCTTCTCGAAGCATTTGCTCACAATGGGGGTCAGGGCTACAGGTCGCCAGTCGTTCAATGAGGAGATGGTGGAGGATTTGGGTACAGGGACGACGGTGGCCATTTTGAAGCAGGCTGGAGCAGACAGAGAGAGGGAAAGGTTGAAGATGTGTGTGAACACTCCAGCCAGCTGAGCCGCGCATGACTTGAGGACGCGGCCGGGAATCCCGTCCGGACCAGTAGCTTTGCGTGCGTTCACCTTCCTGAAGCACTTCCGCACATCCTCCTCAGGCACAGTGTGCGCACTGAAGTCATCCGCAGTGTGCACACTGTCCGGTCTCATGCTGTTCGCTGTGTCGAATGTAGCGTAGAATACGTTTAGATCCTCACACAGAGAGGCCATGGTCTGCGGTGTGCTGGGTTTCCCTCTAAAGTCTGTGATCGTGTTTAGTGTTTACTTACTTGTGCGGGAATGTAAACAGCCGTAATAATCACTGCTGTAAATTCCCTCGGTAGCCAGAATGGCCGGCACTTAATCATCAGGTACTCCAGGTCCGGTGAGCAGAAGGATTTGACCGGGTGCACGTTCGCATAATCACACCAGCTGTTGTTGATCATGAAACATACACCACCGCCTCTGCTTTTCCCAGTAAGATCCTGTGACCTGTCAGCGCGGTGCACGGAGAACCCCGGTAGTTGTATTGCGGAGTCCAGTACTTTGTCCGATAGCCAGGTTTCTGTGAGGCAGATCACGCAGCAGTCCCGCATCTCTCGCTGGAATGAGATCCGTGCCCGAAGCTCGCACAGCTTGTTCTCCAGAGACTGCACATTAGCCAGTAATAAACTGGGTAACGGTGGTCTGTTAGTGCGCCGTCTCAGTCGAACCAGAACGCCAGATCTTCTCCCTCTGCATCGGTGTTTGCGGCCTCCAGGGCCAGAGAACAAAGGCGTCTCAGGTGAGATGAATGGGGGTCTGCAAACGGAGCGTCCGTGTTGCAAAACTTGAACTCCGTAAAGTTATAAGAAAGACCGTCTTTTATGTCCAGTAAGGTTTGTCGGTCGTACACAAGGAGACATGTGCTACTTGCGAAAAAATGAAGGAAAAGTAAAATTAAACACAGAAAAAAGCTGTTGCTTGGGGAGCTCGCGACGAGGCTGCCATACTCGGCGCCATCTTGTTGAAGATCAGTAAGTATGAGTAGCCACAGCTTAGGGACACTTTCTCAAATGAAGAGGATTTCATCATCTGCGGTTCGTGAAAAAAGTGCCACATTAAAAACAAATCAGCAGATCCACAAAGTATGGATACAGACTCTTTTCAACTATAGAGGTAGATGTACGCTTCATGTACTTATCAACATACATTTCAAAGGCTTGCATTATAGTGCATTGGTGCACACTTGGGCATCTTTTATTTAACATGGTTATACCACTGTGAATTTTGCTATATAATATACTCAAGAGTCTATCATATGTTTGACATCCAGCAAAAAATTCAAAAAATATATTTTTAAATCAGTAACTTAGCAAATGAAATGTTTTTTGGATAAAAAATGAGTCACGTTTTAAAAACAGTTTGAATAATCTGCGCTGCCAGACAGACATTTATGAAGCGCTGGCTATAACACACATGCTTACCGTGTGAAAGGACCGCGGATGTCTTGGAGCAGAGAACCTTGTTCTATTGTCGCTTTTCTCTTATGCATAAGCAACGCCAGCCTGTCAGAAACGCTCTGTGTGGGTAGAAAATGGTCTGCACCGGCGCTGGTCCTGACGCGAAATGGCGAGGGTCTCACGCTCTGAGGAACGCTTCATATAGGACCGGGTGCTTCCAAAAACAATAGATGGGGGGCCGATAAGTCTGGGGGCAATACACCTGCAGGGCATTACCTTGCTGTGGGTGGGGCACGCAGTTGCTGAGCTCCGGTGTAACTGGCCAAAATAGGCCTAAGGGTCCGCTGTTGCTGGCTACTTCAGAAATAGGCGAGACCTTGCTCGACTGGTACATCTGCGGGGCTTTTACCTTGTCGAGGAATTACAAAAAGAGCTGATACTGGCCACTTTAAACAATAGGTCGGGTCCCGGCTCGACTGGTACACCTGTCAGCTTTTACCTTTTCCTAAGGAATCCCAACAATTAAATGATACCCGCGGTGGGCTTTTGCAATCCTGAACAAATTCAAACAATTAGCCAGCTGTTGAAAAGACGGAGCGGATCTGGGCGACTGGTTTTAGAAGTATCACTGCAGCATTTATTTCTAAAGGGGTGGTGAATGTTATTTGTGACCATCTGTTGTGTTAAAAACTACTCTAAAACCATGAAACCCCTTACGGAAGAAATTCCCGTTTGATCCGTTTTTAAATAAATAAAATGCTTGCATCGCTGCATGCTGTGACATCAGAATCACAAAATGAGTGTGATTAAAACACTATTACCAACACTTTTGACTAGATGTAAATAAAAACATTCCACCTTTGTTAAGGCGCACTGTGAACAAAAACGGCTTCCACCCCTCCACGCAAAAACAAAGAATTGCTTTTAAGAAGACATATGTCTGCATAACTGAATGTTTAGACACACCAAAGCGATAAAAATAGCACAAATTATTTCAAACTGTAACGCCCCATACTAGATAGCTTGGTGACAAAAGATGACCAAAGAAAACACATTACTTGCTGTTATATGGCCTAATGGATCCCATTTGTCATGAATCAATCATGATTATACAGAAAGGTGTTACCAGGGACGTGAACAAAAACATCATGTTGGGGCCCAACCAATTTAATACAACAAACACTAGTAAAATAAATAGATCTTCAGTTTTTGGATTGAAGTAAATTTAAATTCTCATCTATAAAATGAGATTTAGAGATTTATTTAATAGCACAATTTCCATTTAAAAGCAGACTGGTTCACTGTATTCTAGGCCCCGGTTAGTCATTATATCTCGACCTGATCACTGTAAACTGATCAGCTTCTTCAAGGTAAAAGCCACTGACCGTCTTTCTATTTTTCATGATGGAAAAAACTTTTATTCTGAAAGTGTCATCGGAGGTTCACTTCCGGTGCAAATGAAAGAAGGCTTTTCGTTGTGCGTCAGCGGAGAGTTGGAGGAGCGCGGTGTGTCCTGAGGATTAGTTAAGTGCGATTAAAGGTGATCTGCTGGATTTCCTTCATGGTGAAGATGAAGATGTGTGCGCTGTTTGTGATCCTCGCTCTCGGTAAGATTTCCGTCCTTTGTCACCGCGGACACTCACGGGAGAGGAGCTGGGAGCTAACGAGTACTAAAAGTGGCTGGGCATCTATATCGCACAGTACGGTAAAAGTACGCCTTTGTGGTGCATTTAAGTGCACCCCGTAAACAGACAGCAGTGCTAAGGGCGTTTTTAAAATGTCATATGTTTTCCTCCTTTTATTTTAAAATCAGCCTTCTAACCGTATAGTGGTTATTGTAATCACTTAGTATGCGAAAGGTCACTGCTTCAGTTCCAGCCAGAGACACAAACCTCTCCTGGCTTTGCTTCGGGAAACTCATCCTGTGTACATCAAACATGCAGCATGGTGTGGTAAGGGAGCAGAGTGCCCACACTCTGTGTTGTGTATGCTTGCTTGCTTTACCGCTTATCTTTGTAAACAGCAGCTCGGCGATTTCGTAAAATGTTGTTTTGAACAGTATGATTTCTTGCGAGGGAAATGTACTACGTGCTCTTTTAGCATCTGAAATCTGATAAAACATTTTGAAAGTGTCTTAATTTAGCTTTGCTGATGCGACTGCGAATCGCTTACCGAGGCCTTGGAATGACGGATTTCCTGCTCAGAGGACCGTGGTAGTGATTATTTAGCCAATACAACTAACATATCGGTGCTAACCCTTTATCTTTAGTCAAAGATAGATAATAACAAACAATTATAAAGTTATAACAAAAGTTAATCCAGCTCCTAATGCAACCGAAGTAAAATACAACAATAAAGTTTACTGAAAGTATCATATAGTTGTTGATTTGTTTGGAATATGTGTTTTCTTTTTTTCTGTTGAATTATTTTATGCTAACATGTCTTTCCGTTAACCTGCTGCAGGACAATTTGCAGTTATTCAAAGTTGTGAGTAGGTTTTACAGTGGTTATGATTATTAGCGTCATTAGCGTTGTTCGTGAGTGTTGTCCATTTACTAGAGTTACAGCTGGAAGAGAAGCTTTTCTGCTAAACTTACTCTTTCATTGGAATCATGAACCACACATGTGCAATAAGACTGCTATATGTGCAATTCTTTTTCTGACAAAGTTGTACTTTTATATTTTCTTACTCAGAATACAAATGCTATATACAACTATTTTATTCTATTGCATTCCAGTGTATTCTAATTTCTGCTATATAACTTTGCACTTTTGCTGTAACGAAACAAATTTCCCACCTGTGGGACTAATAAAGGTCATCTTATTATCTTATCTTATCTTATGAAAAGAAACTGTTAAGACTTTTAATAGTACCGAGTTTACGAGCAGCACCTAAACGCACCATGAATTCCCTGTGTGCGGCCAGACGCTGAGCCTTAAATACGTTTGTAAACCCGCAAATAATTTTAACGCGCTGCTATCGTGACCGCGCCTCTTTTCTCTGATCATATCTATACACATGTCACCAACGCGCGAGGCTCAGAACAGCACACACACACACACACACACACACACACTGCTCTCTGTGTAACACACACACACACACCGCTGCTCTCGGTGATTTCCGTTACCTCCTGTGGGCGCCATGTTTGGGCGGATCCCGCAGTGTGAGCCCCTGACTGTGCTGCACGTCATCAAACATCTGGAGCTGCTGGACTCAGTGTGTGTCTGTTGAACATCTGTGTGGTTTACTGCGACAGGAGGAGGGCAGCGTCAGGTTGAAGACTTGAACATAACGTTCAGTCTGAAGCTGCTGATGTTCATAGGACCACACCTATTGTGCTCCAGATGTTCCAGCAGACAGAACATCTGCAGGTGTAACATACCTGTGTGTGTATGCTCAGTTAGAAAACTGTGCACCCGCAGGAGACACACAAACAGCTTCCTCCGTCCTGGAGACGTCCCAGATTCCCATCAGTGCACCCGGTTTCTCCCTCACACACACACACACGAAGTCTTTATCAAACATCACGTGTTCATGATTGTGATCATGAGGGAACATTCAGCATGTATTGATGCTGATCAGCACAGATGTGTTCACACACTCAGTCTCGCTGATAAACTCACATTTATTCTTTTTTTATTTTTCGTATTTATCTCCTGCTCTCAGTGGGCTTTGCAGGTAACTGTTCACCTGCTCACACTGTCAGGTTGCCATGGAGATCACACTGATTAACCTTGTGTCTGTGTCCTCAGCGTCCCAGCATGCATCAGGGGTGGAGGTGGAGGTGTATGAGGGGGAGGAGTCTGTCCCGCTGCCCTGTCAGTTTGCTGCTCCGATATCTAAGGATCACGTGATCGTGTGGAGACGAGACGATCTACATTCTTCGATCATCCACAGTATCGTGGAGGGAAAAGTTGATCTGAGCAGCCTAAACAAGCGTTACTCCAACCGAACATCAATGTCCGCCGACGCCCTGCAGACTGGAGACCTCAGCCTCACTCTTAGGAAGCCCACGTTCACCGACAGTGGGACCTACACGTGTCTCACCCGCAAAGATGGAGAGGAGAAGCAGAGGACTGAAGTCCAGCTGAAGGTCAAAGGTCAGTGCTGCAGGTTCAGGTCAAAGGTCACAGTGAATCATATCACACAGATTCAGAAAGATAAAGTTCAGCATCGTAACATGAAATATTTCACGTATGTAAACATGTTCAGTTACACAGAAGAGACTTAGGCAGGTTTGTGTTTCCATGGAAATGTGATGATGACCTTATGACTGTAGCTGTGCTGTAGCTCTGTCACATCAGCATCCACCTGTAACACGAGGTGGATGCTGATGAAGTGTGACCACATTAGTCACAGAGCTTCAGACCGACTTACAGGAAGTCTGGACTCACTCCAGCTGTGGATCTGACCCTGAGGAGGTCAAAGGTCAGGTCCAGAGAAGATGGGGTCATGATCAAAGGTCATACAGCTGTGGATTTGCACATGTGGATGATGTTCTGGTTCTTTGTTTTTGTGTTCCATTCAGAACATCCTCCTGTCTGGCCCATAATCCTCTCAGTTGGCCTGGTTGGGATTGTGCTTCTCATCAGTGTCCTCCTGAATCGTGTGAAAGAAAGACAGAACTCGATGACAGGTATGTTCGTGTACTGACTCTGTGTGTGACTGACCTCCACCTTCACTCTGTATTTCCAGTCAAACTGAACGACACCATCAAACAGTAGCTGATCGGGTGTCAGTAGTCAGGTGGAGGTGATGTGATAGTGAGTCCAGCTGTCACACCTGCACAGGTGACTCACAGATACACGCCCACTCACATCTGCAGCTCAGAGCTGCATACAGAGACACCACACAGGAATGAGAGCCTTATTATTTAATAATAATTATACATTTACCTGTGATCCCAGATAGGAGTGGGCGATAGAGTTTTTAAATATATCGATATATTTTTATACGAGATATGAGATGTGTATATGTTACGTTACACTTGTGGAGCCGTAAGTTTGCCTCTTTTGTCCACTTTTGTGGTTTTTATGCAATGTTACTCTGCCTCGCCTCTCTCCTTCACTGAGCACAACTCCCCCATCGCTTCACCTGCAGGCAATGACAAGATGGACACGATGTTCCAGATTAACTGGCATTGGTCGAACAGATGTGTGGCAGACTTGCTTTTCGGGAGCTGCTACCGACAAAGCAGCAAATAAACGCCAAACGTGTCACCTATGACACTTGGGAGGTTATCTCAAACACACTCCGTCAGTCTTGATGCTGTTGAACAACAAAATGTTTAAAAATGTCGCGAGTTTACCTGGTGACATTCTCATGCGTGGCAGCTATCAAAGAGGAGCTGCTCGGTAAAAAGAAAACATTTGGAGACTATTTTAGTGCTGTCAGCGTGACGTTAACGCCATAACTGCATTAACGGGACAAATCTGCGTTAACGAGTTACTGCGGGTCGTCCCGTGCATGGGGCTGGACCGCATCAACGCGTCAACGAGCTAACTGCGCTAACACATTGACACCGTGCAGCCCCACGTACTGGACCTGCACGGACTAAAATCCTTTCATTTTCTCAAAAGTTGACAGCGCGCCTTATGTATGAATTCTAGTTGTGCTTGATGGCCGCGAACCGATTTTATGTGGAACCCGGCGCTCAGCAATCTGTCAAAAAATGTTTTAGTACGACTTTGCTAAGCTACGGAGCTGCACCGCTTGATGGACTGTCGGAGCATTACGGCTACCGAGGAGCCTCGCGGAGTGATACGTACTGTGCTTCAACGTAATATTACTGTACTGTGTTTAAGGACCATAAATGGCACCTGTAAGAGACGTGGTTACAAAGAGGATTTCAAACTCCAGGCTTTCAGTCACGCAGTACAAGTTGGGAACAGAGCAGCTGTGAAATCTGTCTTTGTTACTATGCTCAGCGTCTTTTAGTTTACATTTTGACTGCACAATTGTGAGCTTTTTGTTATGCACAAAAACAACATTGTTTTATTTTATTCATGGAGCATTATTATTTAATAAATGCTCATAATTTATTTTTGAGTAAATTTTATGTACATCTGCTCTATGTTAATAAAAGTGCCTGTGTGACATCTGGGACACAGCTTTGACTAAGAACTCTCTTTCTGTTCTTAACTTATGGCTTTAAAAAAATATCGAGATATGAATTTTGGGTCATATCGCCCAGCCCTAATCCCAGATACATCAGTGGCTGTTTCCATGGAAGCAACCAGGTAATCACACCAGTATAAAATCAGAATTTTTGTTTCTGTTTAGTACAGTTAGACAGTTATAATAAAACTGATATAATCTTATTATTAAGATCTGTTTTCATCCCTTTCATTGGCTCATGACAGCTGTCAGAGCTATCAGCTGAGGTGTTGCCATAGTAACTGTTTACGTGATGGTCACAGGTGGAGAAGCTGATGGAGGCTGAATGAATCTAACAGCTCATTAAACCTGTTACCCGTGCTGTGTTACAGTCTGTTTCTGTGTGATCTGCTCTGTCCCACAGTGTGTCAGCTGACACCAGTGAAGGTGACCGAGGGGCACCGTCTGTCCTGCTGCCCTACACACCCAGATGTTCTCTTCAAGATGCTGTCAGAGTGGAGTGGACCAAGCTGAAAAATAATGACCATCTAGTTGTCTGTGTGTTTAAGAACGGTCAGATCCTACGTGAGCAACAACATCCTGCTTACATGAACATCACAGACATGAAGAAAGACGCTCTGACTGAATGTGACGTCAGTCTGACTCTGAGGAAACCACTGCTGTTTGATGGAGGAGTTTACGTCTGCAGCATCTACAACAAGGATGGAATAACCATAAATCAGAAAGTAGTGCCGCTGCTGGTCAGAGGTCAGTGTGAGCCCAGTGATGCTTCAGACATCATTTGTCTTTATGTTATTGATCAGATCTGAAGAAGAGTTTGGATGCAGAGGTGATATCTGACAGATCATCTGCTGTGTCTGAGCAGAGACCGACTGATGGATGAAAAGTCATTAAAAATGTTCCACATGAAGCATCCAAAGCACAACAACTAAATGTTTTTAGTACTGATGATCATCATTCATAATCACACAGCTCATGTTCAAAACACACTCAGTGTGAGCCCAGAGGGATGCTGGGTAACTGTCCACACAGGAAATCACCAAGCAGTGAGAGCCAGCTCTGACCTCTGACCCTCACACTGATCCACCAAAACGTAACATGACCTTCAGTGTGAGGGCTTCATCACTGCTCTGTTTGTCTTCTGCAGAGCCCCTGTGGAACAGCATTAGAGCTGCACTCGGCTATCCCATCAAGGACATGATCCCGCCTGATTATGAGCCGTAAGTGTGTCATTTATCTGAATCTTTGAAGTGTTTGATCCACATGATCCACATCACCTCACTGCTGACCTTTTGATATATTACGTTTATTAAATAGATTCATAGGCTTTGTTTAATCATGCCCAGTGTTTAAAGGAGGACATGACTGCAGGTGTGAGGTGTATTCACATCTGTGACAGGCGTTGTAGATAATGACACTTTGAGTCGGAGCTCAGTCTGTGTCTGTCTGTCTCCACAGACTTAATGATGAATTTCGTCATCTGCACAATTAACCAGTCTGATGTGATGAAGCTGGAGATGATGAAGAGGAGGCTGCCGTCAGCTCGTCCTTCTCCATGGATGTGAAACAGGAAGCTCAGTGTAACAGCTGAAGCTGTCTCTCATGTATGAACTAACGATGGAGCGTTGTCCTCTCAGTTTCTTCTTCTTCTGTCTGCTGCAGACTCTGCATTGATCACATGACCCACCCGCTGTTTTACTTTTACCTGTGTCTGCATGTTAGTGGATCAGCATCATGCATGTTCATGCGGCCCTCTGTGATCTTCACACTGAGCATCATCATCATCCCACTGTCAGAGAGGACCAATCAGAGCTCAGCTCCTGGCTGTGTCTGCAGACTGACCTCAGATCAGCACAAAGCTGTGTAACACGTCCTCAGAGGTCAGGTGGATCTGCTCAGTGTGACGCTCTCTGTCAATGGAAAATTGTACTTAGTAGTCAGTATAATCTTTTAGTGATATAAGTTTGCATATGGTAGAATACTGCATGTAATCATGTGTGTGTAGAAGTATATAGTTGGTGGCATATTGAAGGAATGTCTCATCCTAGGAGGTCTGTAACATTCCAGGGTGTTCTGGCTCCACCCCCACATCCTGGGAGCATGAGAGAGGTCGTACCTTGTCTTATTGTTTTACGGTAGATTAACGTAGCTATGTCAGTTCTAGTCTAAGTGCCTTTTGGTTTGATGAACTGCTGGACTTTGAGACCAGCAGGTTTAGGGAAGATTTTATGGGTCACACTCTGACCCACACACACACACACACACACACACACACACACACACACACACACACACTGAAGTATAAATAAAGACCAGGGCAGTTTCTCAGCGCAAGCCTCAGTGCTGGAGGCTGCCCTTACTAGCAAGAAGTTCTGTGTGTTTCTCTTCTCTGAGTCTTTGCTGAAGAAGTGTTTTAGAGTATATTCCTTAACACTCTCAGAGGAACCTTTAACTTCACTCACACGTCCACCTGAGCTCACAGGGAGGGTGGAGGTGTTCACCTGTGCTGCAGTGGTTTTTTGTTTGTTTGTTTTTTAATAAAGCTTCTTTAAACTGTGTGTGTGTGTGTGTGTGTGTGTGTGTGTGTGTGTGTGTGTGTGTGTGTGTGTGTGTGTGTGTGTGTGTGTGTGTGTGCACACGTGATCAGACTAAACACACACAGCATGTTAAAATTTCATATAGTTCATATGATGGAAACCTTTACAGAATGATAACAGCTGGGAAAAAATGTGACCTCACAGCTTCCTGGTTCTGACCCATGTGACTGAGCGGGCCAATCAGAGGCCGCCAGCGTGTGACCCCTCGGAGGACTCGTTAAAGCTGAAACATATGAGTTCATAACCTCACACTGATGTTTTCATGTTGACTCCCTGATCCCACTCACAGTCTGCTCCCACTGTGGAAACAGGAAGTAGAAGAACCCTCAGAGCTGTCCTCAGATCAGCAGGAAACCACAGAAGAAGGAGGAGGAGTACAGATGCATAAAATACTGCAGGAGTGAGAAAGAGGAAGTTGTTAAAAACTTTACACAGAGTGAAACATCCGCTCTGTGAGCAGAGATCGGCTTCATGGGTGGAGACACTCTGAGGTCTCTGAGCTCGTGGGTGGAGATCACACGTCTGCTAACTGATGCTTTGACCTTGTTATAATGTGTGTGCGTGTGTGTGTGTTTGTTTGTGTGTGTGGTGTGTGTGTCACCCTGTGATATGTGAATGTGTGTCTGATTGAGTTACATGAACAGAGTTTGATTCTCCCATGAAGCTGCCGATGAAACTTATCACAGTAAATGTGAAGAAGTGACTGAAACAACCTCCACCTTAGTTAAAGTGGGTGAAAGGTCACAGATAGAGACAGGGTGGGGCTGAGTGTCAGTGATGTGGGTGGAGACGGTGGAGATAAAGTGAGAAGGCCAGAGGCGTCCTCGCTGAGTCTCCTGTGAGACGAGCAGTTAAAGGACTTCAGATGTTCACCACAGCACAGACAGTGAGGGGACGGAGGCCTCCTGTGGACTCACAGCCAGCACCACGTGTGTCTGTGTGTTATTATCCTGTCAGGAGAGCTTAGAAATAAAGTTATTATTACATAGGTGAAGGGCAGGTCTGTCTAAAATATATGTCTAACTATGTCAAATATAAAATATGTCTAAAAACCAATAAATAAATTTGATCCTGCACCTCTCAAAGTAATTCCTGTTTGTATAAATTCACACTGAAAACCAAACTGCACCACGGCTGTAGTCTGAGGAGCTTGGAAAGGAAAGGCGTTTTTAAGTTGGTTGAAATGAACACAGAATTAACACGATGTCATCCTCAGGTTACTGAGAAGTTGTTGTGAACATGAATACGATATGAAAGTGCTGTTTTTAAAATAAACTGTTTTATCTCAGGTGAGAATTTGTCAGGTAGTTCCCAAAACTGTCACTCTGGCTTGTCTTTGGTGATATAGAACATCAACCAGTGCTCCCAGATGAGTCTGATGGTCTGTGTTCACACTGCACATGCATGGATATCTGATGGTCTTTGTTGGCAGATGATCACATGCTGAGACGCCCCGACAATGAGCCCTGTTACTCATTCTGTTAACAACAAACCTCTTTGCCTCGTCCTCAGAGGCAAACAAAAAGAATCCATCTCCCCCGTTTCCTGAGATACAGGACGTCATAAAAACGGACGGAGGGATCAGTTCTGGAGGGGTCGGAGGGGGTGCCCCTGCATGCATGACATGACAGAGGATGTGGGCGGGGTTTATGGTGATGACAGGATGAAGTGAACATGACGCACAGACGGCTGACACAATCAAACAGGAAACACTCGGTCAGCGACCCAGAGCCACACCCTGGGTCGCATCACTCAGGGTTTCCACCTTAACTCTGGATGAAGGGCTCAGGAGTTTCACAGCCTGGTTTAAAGGGACCAAAAGTAACTGGACACCAGTTCAGGTTTATTTATCAGCTCAAACCACAGCAACAGTCACCTCCAGGGAACCAGCTGATCCATGTAACTGGGGACAGACCACAGCCCAGAGCACTGGTTCATGATGCGTTTGTGGACTGTAGGTTATTTGGATAGTGATGAGATGTACACAGCAGTCTGTCTCTAATGTTTAATGCAGTGGGGAGACCTACCTCAGCACTTGTGCAGGTGAAGCCAAAGGGAAGATTTGCGTCACCATATTTTCTAGTCTTTGGCTTAGAATGAAGTTGGTTTGGAAACATATTCAGTGATGCTTCATCTCCTGCTTTGCATTTCTGTAGGCGCCCGTGCTAGCAGTGTCCAAGCGTCCCCCCCCCCCCCCCCTTCCCCTTTTCATCCCGCGCCCCCCCCGCCATGGCTCTGCGTCCCCCTCCTAGGGGGCGGGCCCCACACTTTGGGAAGGTCTGGTCTAATGAAATGTTCTGAAGATGATAATAATTTGTGACTTTCTTTTAAATAAATCTTTAATTGTGTTGTAGGACCTCTGACTCTTATGAAGATTTTCACATCAATGAGATTTTCACAAAGATATTAACAATGAAAAAGACGTGCAGCCCTGAACTACTCATGTCTTAATGCAGCGGTTCCCAACCCCCGGGTCAGGGACCGGTCCGTGAGTCGTTTGGTACGGGGCCATGAGAGTCGAGGCTCGGTGTGAAATTTATGGTTTTCAGGGTTTTTATCGTTACCTTCGTTTCCCTGGGTCTTTCCTGTGTTGTAGTCGTGTGTCTTATTTTGAAAGAAATGTTACGCGTTACCATAGCGACCAGAGAGCATTAAGGGAGCAGATAGGTGCATCCAACCAACATTTTATTTTCCCTTATTTGATTTATGGACCTAACTGTATGAACTGGACTTTGGCTTTAATGCTGCTCCTCTTCATCATTGCTGTGTTGCATTTCCATCATCCTGCTGCTGGATTCACTGCAGGCTTTAACAAACACTCCTTTGGGTCCAGGCCCAGCCACGTGTTTGTAAGCTGCTGTGCTCCTCACAAATAAAGCCTGAAGCAGCTCAGACTGTTAGAAGCAGCACTGAGCCCTGTTACAGTTATAGTGTTAGAGCAGCGGCTGCAGCCTACAGCATTTAAACTAGCTGACAGTAAACACATCAGTCCAGATGTTACCACATTACTTTGTGATGCTGAGAGTTAAAGGAGACTGGCTGATTAAAATCCCATTCCTTACATCACCGTCCTCTGCTCTGACTGGTTTCACTTCATTTAATCACAATCAGAATACTTTTTTGATCCCCAGGGGAAATTATTTAGGTTACAGTGCTGCAGCACAAACAGGAACAAAGACACAACACACTAAGTAAGAAATAGCACAACATACACAATATATACATGCATATATATACATATGAGTCACTTATAAGTAATATGTGAGTGCTGGGGTCTATGACAGCAGGCAGGTCTGTATTTATGTCCAGGCTGACATGAAAGTGTGAGACCTTCCACACTGACAGAAGATGCTAAACATGACTTTAAACTGTTGTTTGTTAAAACCTCACAGATCTGAGAGCAGGGCTCAGTGGGTACATGAGCCTTTATACATGAAGGCTTTCTGTTTCCAGGAGAGGAAACATGTGATCCAGCTGTGTTTGGTCACATGGATCTGCCCTGCATGGATCACCTGTATTAAACATGTTGTTATTATTGTTCTTACAGTCTTAAATCGGTACATCAGGTGAGTCACATGACACCCGGGGGTGACAGCAACATCTTTCCTCTGACTCTGTATTAAACATGTTGTTATTATTGTTCTTACAGTCTTAAAGCAGTACATCAGGTGGGTCACATGACACCTGGACATTCACAGCATCGTCCCTCAACAAAGGGACCAAGTGTTTCTTTCTGCTTTAGAAAGCTGCTCTCTGTACAAAAACAGGAAGTCACAGCTCTCTGCTCTGTGATTGGCTGCTTCTTATCTCAGCTTCCTGCAGAGGGTGGAGGTCTGCTACACACACCAACAGAAGTGTGACTTTCACTTCCTGTTTATTGGTGTTGTTGTTAAAGCTCTCAGGCGATGCTGCAGCGTCCCCTGCTGACACAAACTCCTCCCTCTGTCTCAGAGGTCAGCCTGCTGCTGAGGGTCTGCCTGTTCATGGACTTCCTGTCACAGACCCGGGTCTCAGCGTCAGCGCTGGTTTCTGATTGGACGGTGTGGAAACCCCGCTTCCTCCAGCCGAGTGATGTGTGGATTCATCACTCTCTGTGGATCAGAGTAAGGCTGTATCCCAATTCAGGGTCTGCAGCCTTAGTACGCACCGTCCGTAGTATGCGTACTGCGCGTACTGTGCGTACTACGGGCGGTGCGGTGGCTGGATTGGGACACAGCCACTGTGGTTCTGTGTAAACTATACAGACCATGTTTGCAGACATCATGTGAGAAGCAGCTCTGACAGTGTGCAGACCGTCCCTCTGTTACAGTCCTCTGTGCTCCCACAGCAGGGTAAAGTTATCTATAACAGTCACACCACAGACTGATCACAGTCAGGTGTGTGAGACCAGC